TTCATTTAGTTATAATTCATATAGATGTGCAACTCAACTACTCTATTCCTGAAGAAGAAAAAACATGTTAAAATGGAGTATAGTAACAATGCTAAAGATAGTAAAACACCATCCCCGGTACGTCAGAGAGGTAGATGAGAGGAGATCAGAGCCAATCAAAACAACAAAGCTCTTCCTGTAGCTCTGTCTTCCTCTCCCTCGTCCCCTGGGAGAAGCGTTTAATCACATGGAGCTCCTGAAGCTGTCACTGCTGGTCAGGCCATCTAACTGTTGTCAAGCAGAGAATAAGACAGGCCGTAACATCACTGTAGGAGATGACAGATGGTTCCAGCTTGAAAGATAACCGGGATGCATGATATATGGGATGATGTTAGGTGGCGGTTACGAGACATGAATTAAGGACTCAGGCCTTGACTGGAGAGAGGGCTGCAGCTGAGACGGTCTTCATCTTTTTTACAGCTTTCAGGTTCAGATAAAGGCCCACATACATTCAGTTAATGGTGTGTCCATTGGTCCAAATGGCCTCATCTCGACTTCAAATGTGGTTAGTGGGAATCCCTCGAGCCATTCAGTTAAGCCAACACAAAGGAGACAATAAAGTGGCAGAATAACAAGGATTGGATTTGAAGACATGAATAAAGGTATGTCATCGACAAACAAAGAGATAGAAAAATGAGTGGAAATCATGTTACCTCACTTTTCATAGAGGGCTTTTTTCTGCAGTTTACATACATGCTGAAATTATGTAGCACAAAAAGCACAGGTAAATTCTGTCTTTACTCCAATTATGTGTGGCAATTTCTTGTTATAACCAAGTTACTACAAAGGCAGACATCGAAAGATAACAAAGTTGTGGCATTACACCGCCAACCTCTCAATCAAATATGGTCACATCTGGCTCCAAAAACACAAGAAAGTGACACCCTTAGTGTCAAACCTGAGGCTTTTATCCGTGGTTGCCTTACTTGACTGTACTTTTTGAGCCGGACAATGTCAAGACAGTCAGTTGTATACAAAGTCTGAAACATGTTGGCCTTTTTACAAATGAATATGGATTTATGGTATATGCTTATCCGTGTCACATTAGAGTTATTATCAATTGAAAACTTGTTAAAAGAGGTTTTGTCTTTAATTCATTACCATTTTGGGGAATCCTCTCCCCATAGTATGAAAGTGCCTGAAAAACCATAAAAACAAAGTCCATTGTGCTGAAGGTAATTAATCCCACAATAAATGGATCAAGTTTAATACTGTCAGTTCAGGCTTGTAAGTTTAGGAATTATAAAGCTCCCATTTTCTTTCAGGATGACAGCATTGTGTGTATAGTCCCTGTTTTATTTTGTTCAACATTCAACCTAAGAAGAGTCCACTGTAGTGCCCTCTGTTAGGCCAGTACTGAACCGTATCACACAAAATGTGCACACATAAAAAAAGTATTGTATTTGATTTTATGTTGTGTCTTTACTTTTTCTCTCTCAGTATTAGATGAGAGCAGATCCACCATTCTAAAGGTTGAATATAACTAGCTTGCAGTGTAAATCACACACGCTTCAATCAAGAACGCAAGACTTGATGTAAGACCAGACAAAGAGCCTGTCACTGAGGATAAGTTTGACACAACAGTTGACAGTTTGTTACGTAGAAGCAGGCCTGGAGCTCTAATAATAATGAACACACAAAAAAACGGAAATGTCACTCATCGTCTTTTTCTGCTCCCACACCCACATGTGCTCACTGGTTTCAAAACAAAACACATAAACACACACAAGAACATTGCTTCAATAGATAATTATAGACACAAACTTCAAATGGGTTTCCCGTTCTTGTACACCCACACACACACCCTCATGCAGAGCACATGCACTTATATACAAACATGGACACAATCATTCCTTCAAAACATGAACTATTTATACACACATGTCTAAAATAGCATCTTTAGCACTTACACGTTTACTGTCAGAAACAAGAGCACTGAGAGTCATTTCATTTACATGCAAATTGACTCCCACAAGTCCACCAAATACACTCTCCTGCTAGGGATCTGTGTGTGTGTGTGTGTGTGTGTGTGTGTGTGTGTGTGTGTGTGTGTGTGTGTGTGTAGCAGCTCTGTTGGAACTTAGTGAAGGTGCTATTCTGTCCCGCTGCTTTTTACTGCTCACTAAAACGAGACACAAAGAGAAAAAGAAAAAATAGAGGCTCTGATTTTATTACCCATGTTCGGTTTACAAACAGGCCTGACAGGGAACCTATTAAAGAGGCCACACGCAGACTGGAGTTAGTCATCTCATGTTTGTACAGAGTAATACTTGGCCCAGGTCTGAAAATGTCCTCTGATCAGATTTCTCCTCCCCTCACAAGGAGATGAAGGATCACTTGAGGTGAGTGGGTATATCTTCTAATAATAAGCGGATCATCACGGGGAAAATGTGGATTAAAAGCAAAACCATACTGACTGTGCTTGAGTCAGTGATGTGGAAATGTAACCCTCCTAATTGAGCAAAGTAAACCAGCTCTTAAGACATTAAAGATGTGATGGGTAAGGTAAGGCTAGTATAGGATGAAGAAAAGCAGTGCTGGAAGTAGATCGTTTGAAGTCAGATATCTGTCTCCCTCTGCTGGTGAACATGAGGCACTGCATGAATTATCTCTACAACATCATTACCTGTTCTCCGCTGCGTGTGCTCCGTAATGTGTACATTTTGGAGATCAATATAGGAGGTCCCTCCTGAACTACACAGATTTCAGAGAGAGCTGTGATTATTATAGGTCACACATTTTAAGTTATTGAATATTTAAAGATAATTAAATGTATTAACTGCTTGTTAAAACCTTAAATCTTTATGTCTTTTGAATGATGTGTTTTCCCCTGTATGCACAAGTCTTGGCGATAAATAACTATTGTGCTTTAAGAATACTGCTCTGAACTTTAGCAAGAAAATAAAAGCTAAGCTAATATTTGTCAGGGATATAGAACAACAATAATAAGTTTAAAAAAAACAACAAAGTTGAAGACATAGATACATTATGCATATACAGTATATATATTGATCAACTGTAAAGTGTGACTGTGTGCTAACAGGGGGCGTGAATGTTTGTTTTTGTGTTTGTAAGTTAAATGTAATGACTATTTCAATTTTTCTGTTTTTTTTAGATAACAAGCCCTTAATAGTAGGACAGGCAGAACACAAAAGTGTCACTTCTTCAGTTGACGCATATTCTACAGTATAAATTATGATAGCATGAAAGACTTGAAAGTATACAGACTGACAATGTTTTCTATTTCTCTATACTGCCTATAAGTCCAGACCAGTAAAATAATGTCAATTGTTGCTATATTTCTCTGTTATATTTTCTTCAAGTATTTATGTTTCTATTTATTTCCCAGTTTACTGTTTTACCCATTTGCATTTTACTGAATGCATCTAACACCAGGCCCAAGGACACTTAGAAATTGGTTTCTTGTTTATAAAGATTATTAATGTAGAATCACTTCCATGTCCAGGAGCAGTTTACTCTACGAAATTGTAATGGACTCAGAGTTCTGAATTCTCCACATTTCTGTAGGGGGGGGAAACACTTAAAAAAGTCTGCCTGAAACTTGATCTTAATTTAGACTTCTGATAAAGCAGCAAATAAAATCAAATACTCAAAGAACTCATTGCACATACAACACAATCCATCCCTCCAAAATCAAACCAATTAAGCAATCAGTCACTGTAGGCTGATTTCATTTGCTATTAAGAGTCATTTAGTGAAGGCTGCAGTATTAAGTGGCAGATAATCAGCCCCACATTTGATTATCCATTGAAAGAATGATCCAGTCTTCAGCGTGAGGAAGTGGTTCAGTTAGGGAGATTATCTCCGTCATTATGGTGCTGATTGGCTGCCCAATGGCCTCCATCCAATTTAGCTCTATCAGTGAGAACCCCTGTTATACACACAACGTCATGTAACTCAAGTGTGGGATTTTTTTAGTGTTTGTGAGCATGTGTCTCCATGTAACTGGAAAGGTTATTTAGTTAATTTAGGTATTTGCAATTTTACGGTCAATTTATCTACAGTTTTTTCTACTTAAAGATCAGAGAGATACTTTATGAGTTGTAAAAAAAAAAGTGTTGATTGTTGTGCTGCAGATGAGTTCATTCAAACAAGACACCTCAGTTTCCTAATCTTATATACAGTTTACAGTAAAGTCTCCATGTACAGAGACAATAGTCATTGTTGGCAGCCCGGGTTCGGATCCAACCTGTGGCTCATTGACTGCATGTCATTCCACACACTCTCTCTCAGGTTTCAGACTCTATCATTAAAAGGAATCTAGTTAAAAAGATGTTGCCTGAACTCTTATGATCCTTGGGTTCTGATGTTGGTCTGGGTTTTGTTGGTATTGGTTTGGTGTCTCATCCGTAGGTTGCTTTGTTGTCGTGTTTTTTGTTTTATTGTTGTTTGGGTTCTTATGCTGTGTTGTCATGTATGCTTCTGCATGTGTCAAAGCATTTCCTATTTACCAATAAAAGTCTTGCAAGCCTTTGCTGATGCCCAATGTTAATTTGTAGAGGACTACTTTGGTTGTGTTATAATGGAGAAATTGTGTTTCTAGTGTAAACCTGCATGATTGCTTTTATTTGCATCATTTAAGAGAATCAACAACTGAGGAATACAGTCAGTGACTAATACTTTTCAAACGCTTTATTACAGTGTAGTTTGAGGGTTGAAAATAAATGTTTTCTACAACAACACAGAGAGAATAAATTACATTCTTTAAAAAAAAACCTGAGTAGCATTCTGATCTCATCTTTTGTCCTGCAGGATGGCATTGTAAATAATTTATTAAATATGATCAAGTAACTATAACTACTAATGTGTTAAGTTTGACAGACTGCTACATCTTTGAAAATCAAGCAAATTATCTTCTTACTGTAGATATTTCTTGGTAAAATCCCTTTAAACAACCATCGAGCACATCAAACATTTCATAGTCGCTGTTTACGGTATGTCTAACAAAACTGTATCAGTTCTTTCATGCTGCATCCTTTCTCACAGCAAATATCAGATATTTTTACAGCATTTCGTCTGATCCGAGAAGACAAGGGGTACCAGTGAGGAGCCAAGGGGAACACCTCCTTCTCCCTATCTTCAGATTCTGCAGAGGTTGGGATTGTCTCTATAGCCTGGTGCTCCTCTGTGGAGGCGTGCTGGTCCCCTGAGCAGAGGAGGTGGAAAGAAATATGAGAACTAAAAAGAACACTGACAATGTACAGTTTGTACTTGAAACTTTATCTGAAAATCAACAGAAAAGCTATTGTAACATTCCTATTATATGTATTCATTTAACCAATGATGAAGCATAAATATCTTTAAAAGTACAAAATGCTAAATACTTTTAATATCTATGTATAGTATGGAAGTTTTATCAAAGAAAATGCTCCAAATCAAGGCATGGATGTTTGAATAAGCAACATAAAGTACTTACAAAAAGAAGAATATTGCTCAAGTTCTACATCTGGCATGCTCCTTCTTAGTCGAGAGTTACCACAGGACGAAACTGCCAGTCGTATCAGATCTCTCCCACACATCTTAATCCTCTCCTGGGCATGAACCACATACCCTGCAGCCACCAGCATCAGCATCAGAGACACCAAACACTTTGCAGGAGACATTGTATTATGTGTTTCTGTTCCTTGGTTGATCAGTGGGCAAAGCGACTGAATGGATGAAGAGACAAGCGATGAGGCTGTGAGCTGACTTGTGTTTTAAACATGAAGGGGTTTATATAGTTAATGTGTTATACCCATAAATGCTTACACCACATATTTGGAATATCTATTCAGCCTTGGCGAAGGAAAAGCATGTCCTGATCTCAAGCTCAGCATGACAATGATGCAAAGTCTCCTCAAGGCTGAAACTCTCACAGAGATAAAAAAGAACACCTGGTCTGACCAAGATCTACAACTAAGCCCTAAAAACACAGGAGCTATTGAGAAAGAAAGGTGAGTGAATTTTTTGGCCATTGAGAATAAAAATAATTTCAAAACCAAAAAGAAGTCTGTGCTAGGTCTGTATGTGGGAAAGGTTAAACATTAAAACCCACAATGGAAATTGAGCAGTCTCTATGCTTATTAAAACCTGTGCCAGCTTATTTTCATTAATTTTGTCAATTACGTCCTTTAACGGCAGATATGCTCACAGCATCAAATTATATTCTTTGAAAATAATTAAAAAAAACATCATAATTCACATTTTCCTGGAATATGATTTGTTTTGTACACCTTATCTTGACATATATGTTGAGGGATGACGCCTAACTGGAACATTGTGCAACAGCGAAAAGATATCAAGGACATTGATGGTCACTACAGGCAAGAGTGTAGTTGCATAACCGAGCCAGAGCAGACTGTTTCATAAGTGATGCATTGACGTATGATATGAAAGATGGTACAGCTTGAATTCTGGCTATGCTGGATATTTTAACCTTTAATGGCTATACCCATTGTGGCAGTATGGATATTGGATTGAAAACCTCGGCCTTAAGTTTCTTTTTTCTTTTTTGTGTCAAAGATTTGTATTCTTTATTTCAATCAGAAATCACTGATGATAAAATCAAATACGTATGTTTACCTGGCTCATCATTATACTTGTTAGTTGTAACACTGGCTTTACAACTGACTCAAAAGAAAAATCTCTGTAAACTGTTTATGCCTCCATTTTTTCCGTATAGTTGTTATGTTCTCTGATTTGTAATTGTGTTTTTATTTATTTGCAGACTTGTTCTACCCCTTGTTCTGTTGCACTCCAGGCTCACTGTAATTAAATATGCTAATTAGCTTTTTTATTGTTTCTGCAATGGAAGTAATAATTCTTATTCCAGTTCCTGCTTTTTTTTGTTTTATTTTATGTTTTAAAGAAATGCAGCTATGATAAAAAATCAATTCAAGCTGCTCAGCATCAAATTATATTTGATCAAATTATATTTGATGCTACATAGTCTTGCATAGTCATATTTTGTGTCTCTCATGAGTTATTTGTCCATACATACATCTGGTCTTTCTGGCATCCTCCTTTGCCATCTACACCAAATCATCAAGTTCAAAGCTTTTATTACCTGACATACAGTTACTAATGAGTCAACAACAACGTCAGTCATTGATCTTTGGGTGTTCTTGTACCAGGTATACTTGTGAATCACCCATGCTGACAAGGAAGTATACCAATAAAACACCTGTTGGGTTCAGATTGGACAGGCCGGTCTCCCAAACACCACCCTCCAGATTGCAAGTTTTCCAGGACTCTGCCAAAACAGTCTAAGAAGGCCACTTACTCTAAAATCTGGTGGTGCCTAAACAAAACTGGATACCAAAAACTATCTTGAAGGAGATTGAATATATAATTGAGTCTAAAATGTGCCTAAGTTGTTGGACTAAGGGAAAGATGTAAAATATGAATCAAGTTGATGAAGTTTTATCTGCTTCCCAACATTTTATTTGAAATGCCTGTCTGTCTGTCTTTTCCTGATGTCCTTCTTCTATTCCTGTCCATTCAGACCTGGCTGAACACAACTAAGCAAGATTCTCTTGAGGTTTAATTGATGCTGACGACACCATTAAACCACTCTGGCATCTCTCCCATCACCTTATCCTGTAATGCTATTAGACAGGCAGCAGCGTCCCCTCTGAAAAAAAGTGACTCAAGTGTCTGTTAATAGATATAGACATAAGCCTTTTGTATTTTTCAATACTGAGTGCTATGAAACACATATTTTTAATTTAGCAAGAAACTCAAATGGTATTTAGAACAAATCCATATGTTCATATACATAACAAATGGGTTTTACATGGTTTCCAGCTTGTTGCTTTTTTAAGTTTAGTTTTATACACAAGAAAAAAAAGAAAAAAACATCTTAAAGGATATACACACAAAATATTTATTTACAGCCACTGTGAAATAGATTTTTTTTTTTAATGAGTGAAATAATAAATGTTGGTAAATTAGATACATTTCATGATATTTTCTTCCTTTGTCACATTTTTTGTACTTATTTAACAATGCACTTCTCATCACATGCATTAAGTTAAAGTTGTTCATTTATATACGCTAGTTAGTATGGGAGGAGAATATACAATATACATATATCATAACTGTGCAGTCTTTGGAGAGTTGTTAATCAGAACAGGAATTGGTTTAATGGTCTTAGAGAAAGAGCTAAATGCAGTGGCGCAGTCCAAGGACAGTGCAGGAAGTGCTTGATCCTGACATCTACGGGCCAAGAACATCGAGATCATCTCACTACCTGCAGGGATGGTGCTAAATACAGACGTGTCTGATGGCTATTATAAGCACCGTTGACCTTGAAAGACTTGTAAACATAACAATGGTCTTTCCTTAATTTTCTTATGAGGATTTACCAGAAAATTGGTAACAAATTGTTTAAATATCCATATAAGTAGTTTGTAAGAATATAAATAAGCTGATTGTGCAATCCTGATTCCCTGTGCCACCAAAATAGCACCGGACATGACTGACTCCTGCCCTTGTCCCAGGCGGGATGCGCAAGCGCAAGTCCTTGTAATCCTCGACAACGAAATTACACTCACAGGCTTGATCTCCACTGACACATCCGTGCAGCGTCTCTCCTACTACTTCAGTGTAGTCAAGAGCATGCTGAGAGACTGGAGTGAGTTTTTTTGACGGTAATATCACTTTGCTGACAGTAAGACAAGTTAGCACTGATGATGTTTTCAATTACATACAAATGTGAGATATTTAAATTTCTATTACTTGTATTTCCTTAGAGGTCAACAGCTGATCTTTATGATGTTTAAAACGTGCTGGTACAGAAGAACAGTTATTCAGAAGACATCTTTTGTGCGACCACGTCGTTGTCGGACAAGTAGCTGTCCAAGATAGTTCTTTAATAGCACTTCCAATGAAAACAATGACTGAAAAGCATCATCCTCCCTTTGGAATAATAAAACTACTGGTCCTCCTTGTGTCAAAAATCTACTTCAGTTCAGTCAGAGTTATATGGAAACAGAAAACAAGCAGTCCAGTGGAAGCGAATGGTCCATTTGACTAAGGAGTCATCATCCATAGTGTGCAAGCCATACCTCCTGTAAAGCTGAGGCTTATAGCTTATCTCAACTTGCTGCTGCCTCCATTTCACCCCTTTGCTTGTTTGTCTTACATCACATACACTCAGAATTGGAGGCAGATCGGGTCTTACACTCTGTAGACCCATGGGTGATAAGGCCATTTGGGGTAAGAAAGATTGCAAGTTGGCAGCTTCACTCAATCCTCGTTCTCATGGATAGTTTCCCTCCAGCTGGGCCGATAGTGAATCTCATCATCAGACTCCTCCAACGGAGGTTCGAAGCAGTTCTCAAACTTGCGTCTAAAACGCTTTCTAAGCTGGAAGGAACGCTCAGTGTTTGAAACACTGTACTCCTGTTCCTTGAGTTTGGCGTAGTAGTCTGAAAACTTGTTGAACAGGATGGAGATGGGCATGCCGTTGAGGATAATGCCAAAAGAGATGCAGCCAAATGCAACACAGCGGCCAAGATAGGAGATGGGGACAACATCTCCATAGCCAACAGTAGAGATGCTCACCTGGAGGGGGAAAAGAAGAAAGTGAGCCTCTTAACTTTCATAAACAGATTTCTACACACCCTTTCTAAAATGTCCTTTTAAACAGCAGAAATAGGAATGTTACCAGCCTGGACCAGCCCCCTATTCAAATTTCCATGTGGGGTTGGGTAAGGCTGGTGTGTGAACGCAGCAGGTAGACATCTGGGAATTTCATCAGTAGTTAGTGGGAGAGGGTGATGACTTTTATATCACATGACCAGTGAAGGACAGTCCAATCATTGTGCAAGTTAAGAAGCAGCATCATACTCTTTTCTGCTCACCAGTATGTTCTTGTCTGCTCTTTAGTTGATACTGTTGGGCAAAACCTATCATTAAAGTGTCTGACTTTGCCTGCCATCTTGGATATCTTGTTTATTTTACACTTTGAGGAGAGTGTGATAGTGCCTTTGGACATTTTCAGGAAAAATCTGTCCTGCATAAGTTAAAACAGCTTAGGTTATATCTACATCACGTTAAAACAACATATTTTATTACCAATTAGCTACCATCAGCCAATGTTAGTATCCAGCTACCTCTTGGCTAATGTTACCATTAGCCAAGAGGTAGCTGGATGCTAAGATACGTAAAATATGAGAAAATATGATACAATAGGGAAGGCATTAACAGACCTAGCTTTTGTAAACAATATATGATAGCCCCTAAAGCTACCACCAGAAAACAGCTAATTTTAGCTAGTGGAAAACTTGAAAATCTGACCTACATCGCTCTCCCAATTTTTCACTATATTGGTTGTGTTTAAAATTGTTTAAAATGCCTATCAATCAAACAAGAAATGTTGAAATGACACTGACTGTCAGACTGATTTGCCTCCTACAATTTCCAGACTTAGCATTACAACTGTATAACAGCACTGGAGCTTCCCACCCTGTCCATCATGTTAGAGAAAAATGGTTTCCATGTTAATTCTCAATACTTCTGCATTGATAGTCAGTTAGATATTATAGAAAGTGTTGGGAAGATTTCCCATATTTGCCTCAAGATAGGCCTAATGCTCTACTCCAAAACACCCCATGGCTTC